CAAGGTTGTAGAGGACGTATGGAAAGGGCTCGACATCGACGAAGATGAAACGCTGGAAACGGAGGGTCTACAGGGGTTCAACGAGAAGACATCTGTTGCTTGTGCTGAGAGAGAAGGACATAATCTAAGAAAAGAATCCAAGGATAAGGAGGGTCTAGAAGTGTACGGAATGTTGAAGGAAGGAATAGGGTTCAAGGATTACCTACATGGACCAATGGATGCAGGGAGAAAGCTTCAGGTCAAATTCAGGACCGGGGACATAGGCCTTCGAGAACGTCGACGAAGACATAGGACGGTAGACGACGAAGACGACGAGTTCAAATGTGATTGCGGCTTCGAATGCGAAGACCGTGTTCATGTAGTCGCGGAATGTCCGTTGTCCAAGAAGGAGAGGGAAGTGTACGTGACTGAGCTGGGAAAAATAGATGGGAGGTACAGGGAGGTGTTTGAGGCATGGAATAGAGAGGAAAGGACGGTAGCTGTACTGGGGCATAGGAGGTGGTTTGAAAAGGCGGGAAGTGATATCGTTAGGATAGACAGACTAGGGAAGACACTTTTGAGCCACCTTTGGCAAAGCAGAAAGGAACGATTGGCCATCGGTGATCGGTCCTGTGGGAACAATGCTCCGTTCTCTCGAGGACGCGTGGTCAATGGTCTAACCGCTAAGGCATGCAAAACATGAGAGTACGCCCCCCTCCCTCAATAAATAAGAAATAAAAAGTGCTGTATCCCTCCCTTCACCACGTGTGCCGTACGTATCTCGAAAACAACGCGGATGCAACATGAACTAACACATCCACCATGACGAACGATCTCGGTGAACGGGAAAAACCGAATGAAACACGGCGCACGAAGCCCCGTGGTGACCATCAGCGTGCTTAGCCACATCCATCAGTTGCTGGCCGAGTACTTCCTTTCGAGGGGGTGGCACGAGAGGGGCCTGGACCACTTTAGCGAGCTGGTCGCCTGTACAACGGACGAGGTAAGAGCGAGAGAAAGAGGTGTTCGTGCGGGCGTTCCCCAAGGGAGGTGTGGTCCTGCTGTAGCGGCAGCTGTCCGACTGTTGTGTACAGTCGTGGCTCCGATATTAGAGGGTGTTGCGACAGAGGCCCTCGACCCTCATATATCGGAGCCCCCTCTTATCCCGGAGTAAGAAGGTACATTATTCCATTGCGGGTCGAGTCGGTGACAACCAATTTCGACCCTCTCATATCGGAGCCCCCCTTAATAAGGTATGTACCCTCTTCTATGTCGAAGCCAAGAACGACTGTAGCACAAAATGACGCGCCCCCAAAGAAGGTGGTAACAGTATAGTAGCTTTCACCACTGCTGTGTGTAGTTGTAGTGCAGTGGCGTGCACAGCGCAGCGTGCGTTCCCCTACCAGGTGGTAGGAGCCAGCCCCCCGGTGCTAAAGCATAGTGCGTTGTAGTGGTGTTTCCGCTGCCGTCCGCGACAGATTTTTCTTCTTCGGGCTGCTCTAGTAGCGTGCATGCTTTAGTGAGGCAGGCCATGGCTACTTGGTGACGAGCGGACATGTGGGCGCCGTGACGCGTCTTTTCTGTGTGGTACGGACGAGAGTCATGTGGGCACGATGAAGTCGGGCCGCTGAGGGCAGACAGGCGCCTAATTACGGCTCCATTGCACCAGGTTTTGGTACGCTCTCGCTCTGTGGTCGTTCCGAAGGTCGTGCGTGAGCCGTCGATTCCAATTTTGTGGAAAAGTCGCGCGCCTTGCTTTTGTTTGGATTTGATTTGGGTTATCCCCTGCCACCCCCGCGATCACAATGCACACAAACGGCGACGATTTTCTGCGTGTGAACGACGTTTGATGTTGCTTGCTGTGTGGTTCGTAGACATGTAGGCGGACAAACTGTTCTTGTTGCCGACAAACTGTTCTTGTTGCCGTTGACGGGGGGTTGTTGGCACGCGGAGTCCGGTCAGCTCGGGAGGTGTGTTGAGTTGGTCGGTGCCTCGAGGAGGAGCGCGGCGTTTTGTTTTGCGCGGGGTCGCACGAGCTTGCACGAGTCCCACATCATGGTATGCATAGAGTTATGGGGGGCTGGTGAGCGGCGGGCTGATGAGCACGCCCTCCCACCTCAGATATCATCGATTGCGGCTATTTCAGACTTTTTTTTTTCATGACCACCCGCTCACAGGACATAGTGGCACCCCAGCTACCTACACAACATGCTGCGTGTTGCTGTCTTCCGATGCTGGTCCTGTACCCCCCTCCACCTCTCTCTTGGTGCAGGATGCGCGACAGCAGCTGGTGGACGACTTTCGAAGAAACGATGGCTTTCGGAGAGCGACGGCGGGCCTCACCCAGTCGAGTGTTCAGGAAGTGCTTGACGAGGTGCATTTTTTTTTTTTTGTAACCGATATTCGTAGACTGGAGAGAGATTCTCTTCGTTACCTCGACAGGAGCACAGAAATAGGACAGGTGTTACGTACTTCTGAGATAAGAGAGGCCGTGGCGCTTTTGCTCATGCAGACAGCCCCAAGAACAACAACATTTCTTCTTTCTTCCGCGCGTTTTTCTGATTTATTTCTCACGTCTTTGTTTTTGTGGGCCTTTTTGGTTTCTCGGGCAGGGCATCTCGTATTTCCGATGTCAAGACTACGGACCTGCCGGCGTTAGGTTCGAGAAGGTGCTGCGCAACGCCAGGTGTATCGGGGAGGGGAGGATGGAGGCACGAGCGCTGGGGAACTTGGCAACGGTGAGGAATCGCGACAGGAGGGCGTTTTGCCGCGCGTGCAGAGAACGCCGCCCCTATCGAACATGAACTGATTTCGCAGTTAAGACGAACAACCGTGAGGTTCAGGGTGAGCTGTTCCAGAACCCCCCCACCTCCCGCGCGCACACTTTTTCCTCAGGAGGCAAGGTTTCACGAAGTTTTGCTTAGTTTGGTGTTTGTGACTCGCAGAAGTGTGCTTTGCCGCGGCGCAACAGGCGCTATGTACACGGAAGCTGTCGTTCTTGAGAACAATGCATGCTCGTTGTAGTGTACGGGGAACTGCTATGGAGGCTTAGATCGACATGAGCTTTATCTGAAAGCTAACCAACAGCCTCCCTTCTCGTTTCCCCTCTTATGTTCGCGAGCCCGCATATAGCACTCATGGTGTTGTTAGGATTGTCGCGACCCGCACCTGTGTTGCCTGCCGGTCGCACACGAGCGTCATGCACAAACAAGAAACCATGACAGGTGCACCTGGGCGAGAAATCTTTACCTGCCCATTTTGCTGATTTTGCTCTGACGCTCGCACACTTGTTTGTTCCTCCACGTCTCTAGGCGTTATTGTATTGTATCGCCCGCAAATGTTTTTTTCTTACCCCTCTTTTTTTTTTTGATGATGCTTCCCGGGCAGGTGGACTACAAGACGCACCGCATTCCGGCGGCGATCCGAAGGTACCGAACGTGCGTGCAGCTGCTGAGACAGCAGGGGAATCAGGTCACAGAACGGAAGATTCTGAACTACTTGGTCATGTGCTGCATCGAGGCGCAGAGGTGAGGGAGACTGATTCGCAGACGGGTGCCGTCGGCTGGGGCTGAAGAGTTGGGACGTGTTCGTGCCCGTCGACCGCAACGCCTTCCTTTGCAGCCTGTTGCTGTCGACATTTGAGATTGAGTGCCGACCCGACCGGCCAGTCAAACGGCGAGTACATGACCGCCCTCCCTGCCGTCCTTTTTTTGTTTGTTCATGGCTTAGTTTTTTTTTTTTGTATGTTTGCGTTACAGCAGTTGGCTTTGCTTGTTGGACTGCCGACGCTATCCGCCCTTCTGTCGCGAAACGTACCCCAAGTTTCACCCCAACCATGCGCTGTCGAATTTGATTGTCTGTTTCCTCGCTCCTTTCAGGTGGGCGCCCGCGAAGCTTTTTCACGAGCAGCTGTCGAAGCTGGCGGAGAGCGAGGAAAATGTCCTGCACCTGGCGCGACTGCAGGAAAGAATAGAAGAGGGGATGGCTTTGCAGGTGCGTCCGTCCGCCCTTAGTGAAGATGGATTACATGCATGTGTGTGTGTTCTTCTAGTTGCATCGACCGCGCTGACTGATATAGTACGTTCCGTCTTGTTGATAGCGGGAGCAAAAAACGCCTTCTAGCCCACGGGCTCCGTTGAAACGGGGCGCCGGGGAGGAGATTCGGACGACGGGGTCATCTCTGCACCGAGGGTGCTTGAATCGAGGAGAAGGCGCGGCGACACCGCGAACCGCAGCACCCCGCTTGCGGTATCTATCTACTTCTCCCGCATTAGCATCCTCACCGTGCAGTCGATTGATACCGAGCATCTCTCCGCTGGGCTCCGCACCAGCTTGAGCGTAGTCCCGGCTGCGGCAATTTCTGGACCTCTGTTCGCTACCCTGCTCTGAAAGTCTATTCCTCGCGCGTCTTATGCCGTCGTTGCGTGATGACGGTTACATTGTGTGTGTTTCGCTCACTTGTTTTGCATATAGACCGCGCGCGCGACCCGACCCACCGATGACCACACGACCTTGGCGAGAAGAATGTTCGAAGATCGCTGATTGACCGGTAGGGTGCATGGTACATGACGACGGACGGGGGCGCTGAGATCAGAGTGGACATAAACTCGCGCGTGTGTAGTGCGTGTGAGGAGGAGGAGGAGGCCGCTGGCGAAGCTTTGTCGTCGGGGTTGGCTCCTGAGGCCCCCTTACAAGCAGACTGGCTCATTGGTGGTCATGGAGGAAGAAGCGTGTTCGCAGGTTTCTTTTTATTACTTTTTCGCTCGTTGCACTCCGCTCTTCCCCGGGCATCAGGTCGCGCCGTTTCGTTCGGCTCCGCGCTCTTCTAGGACCGCCTACGCGGGATTTTAAGATTATCTAGAGAAAGAACAGGGAGGGGGCACGCAGACCCTATCCCTAACCCTAACCTTAACCCTAACCCCAGAGCACGGATTGAATACTTCATCCCATATGTTTGCTTAATCGATTTTGCTGCGTAGACTAACGCTCTTCTAGGTGGTGCTGTGTTATAGTGGCACGGCAACCAGTTAAATTCATACACAACTATCGTGCCGTCCTCGTGCTTGGTTTGCAGGCACGGCAAGAAGGGGATGCTGCTCCGGCTAGTAGCGGCGGGGGCGGTGGCGGGAGCGGAATCGGGAGTGGGAGCGGTGGCGGGTTCCCGTTGCAGCAAGGCGAGACGACACCGACTAGAGACGGCGGCGGCGGGGGCAGCAGCGGGATGTACTTACAAGGGGGGGCCGCACCGGCTAGCGGGGTTGGCGGCGGTGACAGCGATGATCCGTACTTACCCTTCCAGCCAGGAAGGATCACACCGCCTAACTCCGGTAGCGGTCGCGGGAGCAACGTGTACTCACACTCGCGGTTACCAGGGGCCTTGCCGGTTAGCGGTGGTAGAATTGGCGGCGGTGGTGCGTACTCCATGCACCAAGGAGGGAGCACACCGCCTGGCTCTGGTAGCGGTGGCGGCGGCGGCGGTGGCGGTGGCGGTTGGTACTTACCCTCGCAGCAAGGAGCGACCACACCGACTAACGGCGGCAACAGTGTTCGCGGCGACGAGTACTTACCCTCGCGGATACCTGGGGCAGCACCGACTAGCAGCGGTAGCGGTGAAGCGAGCGGTGTCGATGTTTCGCACTTACCCTTGCAGCAAGTAAGGATCACATCGCCGAGCACCAGCCACAGCGGTGGCAGCGGCATGCACTTACCCTCGCCGTTACAAGGAGCGCCGGCTCGCGACGGTAGCGGTGACGCGAGTGGTGTCGATGGTCTGTACTCAACGCCGCGGCATCACGTGGCGGCATTGGCTAGCGGCGGCGGCGGTGTTGGTTTACATGCTTACACTCAGCAAGCACCCATGACAGGCGGCAGCGGTTTCGGTTTCCCCATGCAGCAACGGGGAGCCCCGCCAGCAAGAAGAGGCGGCCACGACAGCTTTTATATGCTACCCCAGCAGCCAGGGGCAGCGCCGAAGGGGACCCATCGCATCGGTGGCGGAGAGTTGTACTTCCGCCCTCAGCAGCACGGGGCCACGCAGGAGGGGGTCTACGGTGGCGTGTATATACCCCGTCAGCCGCAAGGGGCCGCACCGGAGGGGGTCCGTGGCAGTGGCCGCAGGGCCGGAGGCGTGTGTATCAGCCCGGAGCTAGAAGGACAGGCCTCGCCGATCGGGAGGCGGGGCGATGGCCACCGCGGCGGCGGCGTTGGTGCCGGTGTTGGAGGGGTTAGGGACGACTACGTGATGGTGTCGCCGGATCGCCCGCCCCCGGTTCCTCAGCCTGATTACGGTCCATACAGCAGCCGATGACAGGGCACTCGAGAGTAGGTGTCAAAGACGACGAGATATACCGGCGGAGGGGGTGGGGTGGCACTGAGGCTTGTTTGTTAGAGGTCGTGTTATTTTTTTTAGCTCTCGTGGAGGGTGCGCACGCGTGGTGGGTGGGTTGTACTCTCTAACGCTTTCAAGTGACGGGGGACGCGAGCAGTCGGAAGGGCGCTGGGGAGGGGGCGTACGCGTGAAGTCGCTGCGCGAAAACAGAGGGGCGGTGATTTGGTCGCCGCACTACGAACACGGACTGCTGCACAGATTCTGACTAGGAGGCGGTTGACATGATATTCTGGCAACTTTTTTTTTTTTGTGAGCACCGTCGTCCAGGTCTTTGTGTAGTTTTGGGCACCCTTATCGGCGGCGTTCTTTAAAGCTTTGTTTTCGCCAGGCGTCCGTGTGCTATTAATATTAATACATTATACATGAATCGCTGTTTTTCTTGGAGAGTAGCTTTGGTTGCCTGTAATTGTTGCAGATTGTTCCGGCGCATTGGTGGTAGGTTGGAACGCGCCTGCCGGTGGTTCCCCCCGATGTGCGTGTACGACGTTTGTTTTTGTTTGGTTTCGTTTTCTTGTTTTTTTCATGTTTTGTGCAAGACGCCGGTTTTATAGACTTACTCGCAGCGAAAAATTCTTTTGTGGATTACAGGCCCCATAGTAGTGCGGGACGACTTCCGCTTGTTGTGCGCCGCCTTTTTGTATTATGTACTTGCCCTGCAAGCATCCATGAACTGTAGTAGGTGGTTGTTTCGCGGCTAACCGTACATCTTGGTGTGCTTGCCGCCCGTGTTTGTACACAGCGACTGGAAGAGGAAGTCAAGGCGATCATTCTGTGAGGTCGATACGATGACGATAACTTGTTACTATGAGGAGTTCGTTCCTCTACACCCGTAGCCGGTAGAGTCGTCTGCGTTGACCAACAGTAACCCACCTACATTTGATTTGTTAGGTTTGTTGTGGTTTGTTTTGCCCTCATTTGCCGTCGCCCAGGAGAGAAATCGAGGTAGGCGAAATGATGCTGCAGTACATATCTTGTTTGCGGCCCCCCTTGTGTTGGGGCCGAACTCACAAGTTTCCAATTTCACGCGAAGATGGTGGTCTACAGTAGTAGTATGAGGCGGTCAGCACGCGCGGGTTCGCGTGGCGTGCTGTGGTGGAGAGGCTATGTAGTGCCTGCTACCTTGCCTTACCTGCCACACACATTCTTCAACATGTCGTTCGTGCGGTCCTTCGCCGATCGGATTCAAGGGCCGCCGGATGAGGCGAGCTCACGTACGTGCACTTGCCGAGAAGAGACGACGAAGAGGTACCAATTCACAGAGGATTGCCAAGTGGTGTGCGAGAAAGCCGACGAGTAGAATCTGAAGCCCTCGCGTGGATCATTTAGCTGCTCGGGTGTCTCGACGTGCATCAACCAATCAATGTTCGTTCACGTCAACCCGTTTGGTGCGGAACATTCTGCCACCGTTCGGCGGCTCGTGGTAAAAGTTCTCTTAGTAGCCATAACTCTTCTTCCAGGCCACACCGTCCGCAGCATGTGCAGGTACAGCTAAGGTGATATGTCCCCAAACACAAACAACGCATGCTGCTACACTGAATTCTGCCTTTTTATGAAGCCTCTGTCACAATGGGCCCTTCGTGAAACCGTTGTCGCCTTGCAGGGTGATGAGGGGCTTAATCATCCAATCCGAAAGCCCATTTGGAAGTGTGTGTGGGCGTCGATGGCAGGAGTGAGTGGTGCACGGGATCTTGGGAAAGTTGTAGGGGCTCCGGCGAAATATATACACGTACAATAGTAGGCACCAGCGAATCCGGGCTGTGGGTTCCCCCGCAATGTTTACATGGCACCATCGTGCCGCCCCAGCACCACACGACGGACGCCGTGCGCCTTCCGCGATGAGGTTAACAGCGATGAGGTGTACGTTCGGAGTGCTGCTGCTGATTTCTCCAGGGGCCCTACGCGTTAGATCGGTGGCACATGTGTGAGTCATTATGTCAAATTTCGCTTCGCTGGTGTCTGATGTACTGCAGTACCGCGCCGTAACATACAGCAGTCGACCCCGCATGAAGGAAACATATGGTTTTGCTTCGAAAAATGTTTCCTTAACGCGGGGAAGTTTCCTTAAACTTCAGGGGATCAGAACACACCATCCCCGGGGTCAATGGTGGCGGTACATACGTCAAAAGGTGCGCCCTGGGCAGGGCATTGTTGGAATAAAGAAAGAGGCTGAGCGTCGGCGAGAAAATAATTGTTTATTGCTGAACACCACCGCACAGCACGGAAAATACCTGATGGACACTTGAAATTCACCTGGTGACTCTTGTTTACCTCTAGGGGAGCGCACGCAAAAACTCTCCTGCGTAACTCTCTACTGGAGCGCCATCAGACACAAGCACACAATACGGCGTATGACCGACAAACCGCAAACACTCAACGCTACGACTTCCCCCACATATCGCGAAGAGTTGCCTGCAGCTCGCCCCCCTCCTTGGACCTGCGCTTGACTTGTGTTTCATTCGTGAACGAATGCACCGTTTTCGAAAGGAGGTGCTGGGTTTCGCGATATTCGCCATCCTTTCCATTGGCGTACAAATAGGAGCGAACACTCTCTAAGCTAGCGCGGACCTGAGCCTCTGTCATTGAAGATGTAACACACGAGGCTAGCCTATCCCCGCCATCTTCGTCGTCAGAAGAGGCATCAACCTCCAAGTTTGCCATGTTCTGTTTCTCAATCTCCAGTTCCAGAGCTACCTCGTCTTCCAACACGCTGGGGCTATCTTCACGGAAAGCCACGTCTTAATGCCTTTCGCACGTCTACATCAGTGAGGCCCGAGTTCTTCTCGACAAACAAATTGTCCGTCAACACCCCTGGAATTTTTCTGGCGTCGGTGACGTCGACGCTGTCTGGCATCGACAGCTTCGCGACCAAGTCGCAAAGGCCGTCGATGAGTCCCCTTTCCCCCGTGCCCCCCCCCTTCCCGTTGCCCTTTCCAGCGAGCCGCGTGTCCTTCCTTCCCGATGCCGCGACCACCAAACGCGTGCATCCATCGACCGCACGGGCATATGTGGATCCCCGAAACGAGCTTCGTGATCGTGCACGTGGGTTCCCCACACCGTTGACCCAGGTGCAGAGGACGCACCGGTAGGTGAAACGAATCTTTTCTAAATCTTTGCATACCTCAGACAGCAGGTGAAGCAGCAGACCTCTCTGCTGGCGAAGAGGGTACGCTGAAAACGTGCTTTGAGGGGGTTCCGCGGACTAGAATATGGAACCCCCGTATATTTTACATTCTGCGGGGTATTGTGTTTCGGCGAAAAATTGTATCCTTTACCCGGGGAGTTTCCTCAATTTTGGTTTCCTTAAAGCGGGGTCGACTGTACTCAGAATACCGCACCCCATGGACCAATTCCAAAGCTCGATTACTCCACGACAAAGAGGATGCCAAAACCGAAGGATACGTTCCCGGAAGGCACTCGACGGGGAGGTTCCAACGCCGCCATTATCTTCACCGTCACTTGTTTTTGCTTTGTAAAGCGATCAAGCTTAAAAATCAATCCAGGGGGCATGGTATCCTATGCGACCAACCGTTCATACCCTCAAAGAGTGTTTGAATTCATACATTGTTGTTGTTATTGTTGTTTTCACATAAAAAACTATTCCGATCTCCGCTCAGTCCCTTCTAATGTCCGTACTGGTCCAACCGACGCAACAAGCAGTACACGTACATACTGGGTCGCCCCGGTGGTCGAGTGGATATCTTCGCAGCCTTCTAAGGGCCAGGTCATGGGTTTGACTCCCGGCTAGAGTGAGTTTTTTCTCTCTTAAGTAAATCCTGGTCCAAGTTGGAAGCGACGCGCTGCAAAGCTCGTTGTTAGTAAGCTGATGGTCTTCATTGTCGACATCGACTTTGGCCGTCGCGAAGGAAGGGATTGCTGTTACCCTTCTCGCGATCAAAACATCTCAGGCAGGAACCGCAGGAGGGGGGGGGTCCAGCCCCCCCCTCCTACGTGACCCCGGTTGGGTCGTCTAGCCCTTCTCGCGATCAAAACATCTCAGGCAGGAACCGCAGGAGGGGGGGGTCCAGCCCCCCCCTCCTACGTGACCCCGGTTGGGTCGTATAGCTAGTAGAAGAGGAGGATGTGGGCCAGAGGGGCAGACGATAGTGTGTCCACTGATGGGAGAAAAAAAAAAAAACTAGCTAGGGAGGTGGAATAGTATTTTGTTGAAAAACGAACCTGCAGTATGCTCGTGCGTTACTACCATTGGCCCGTTTGCTACACAGCATATCACATTGTATTGATTGAGGTATGGGGGGCGCCAATCAATGTGATGGACTTCGAAAAAAATAATACGTCTTGGAAAAAACAAACGCCACCTCCACACGGATTCGAACCCATGACTTCGAGAGATAGCGTGGTATTCACCTTCATCAACTAGGGAGGGGGTTGTTGTTTATGTTGTTGTTGTTGTTGTCTTCACATGAAAAACCGTTCTGAACTCTCCCTATCCAGTACTTTCGTATGTCCGTACTGATCCAGCACTCGACGCGGTCGATTCCCGTGGTCACAGGTTAACTTACCCTACAAAGGTACACCCAAAGAAACTGGCCCCGGGGGGTCCGCTAGTCAATAAAAATCAACGTCAGATATTCTGGAGTCCTCCACTCCCTCTGCGCGCTATGCGAAGTAACAACTGAGACTAGGAGTCACCATCACGGGCCGGAGAGAAAGAGATGCACCCCCTTGGTTCAATCATGGTACGTCACAATGCAAGCAGAGACACGGCCATCTGGCACAGAAAAGAGAGGAAAAAAAGAGACAAGGAGAAAACAGAGAAAAAGAGAAAAAAATAAGAGGAAGCAGCAAGGAAAGAGAAACAAAATGTAAGAGAGCGAGCACAAGAAGGGACCAGGCCGAAAATGGCAAGAAATAAGAGGCAGAAAAGGCACACGGTGGAGAGACCACTAACGAACAAGCAAACACGCAAATATGGCCACCAACCAGCGATACATTGTAATGGTACGTCATCACCAGTGGGGGGTTGGTGCAATGGTGCAGCGTTGGGGGGG